ATGTGCAGTGCTCATGTTTATTCAATGAAGTCAAAGCCTTTTGGAAAATCTATTTGTAGCAGTCAGTTCTGATATTGTGGCGGGCGCCACAAATAAATCAATGTTTGGAAAGAATAATCACACAATACGCTATTTCTGCCATGTTTTGATTTTAATAGTAAACCCTTTGGCAAAAAATAAAGAATTTAACTCTTATTTGATTAAAAGATAAATTAAACTATGCATTGCACTATACTGTATATTAAAACTAACTGAAATTTCTAGTGTCACATAGGCCAAGACATTTCATTAGGCTATTGAACAAAGTGTGCCTGTAAAAGGCTATAAGTGTTATAGTTTCATGAAAATAGTTGCTACATTTCTAACATGTAAATTATTGAAGCCAAATACTTACATTTCCCCAAGCTGTTTAGTACAGTATTCGTAGGCTTAATCATGAAGCATACAGTTGCCCCACTTTTAACTCTCTCTTTATATTATTTGTGTGTGTAGGCCGTGTGTGTTTACGCAGCCCGGTTTAACCCAACTCCCCAGCTCACATCAGCCGTGTTAACCGATCACACATGAAATAAAAAGCATTAAACCCTGTATATGTGTGTAATGAGTGTGTATAATGGTGCGGTATAAACACACACAAGACGCTGATGTAGCCGTTAGCCGCTGTGCTAACCCGCCAAACGCTCTCACCTTCAGTCAGTGGATCTCTCTCCCTCTCTCTCCCTCTCTCTCTCTTTCTGGGTGTATCTCTCCCTGCCGCCGCACAAACGCTGATGGCCCTCGGGACGCGGTAAAGGATGGCTCGCCGCGGGTTTCTTCGGGATTTAATCGGCGTGTTTGCTGTTATTCTTCTTTAACCGGCGGCGCCTGATGCATGGCGGACGCGTTAATCGCGCGGTGTGGATCTGAGCGGCTTCCGTACCGTGACGCAGACGTCATGTCTCATTAACATAAAACAAAATGAAACTCTAATACTTACTATTAGAGTTATATATTCAATTTAAAGGTAAATATCTTGACTAACACATATTATTTGTGATCTATATTTCGTGAATGAAGGTTTATGGGGGATATAACTTAATTTTAGAGGTCTGTAATTCCCCCTGTGACCTGTAGGTGGAGACAAAGGTAAAATAACGGGTCATTCAGGTTCATTTGCCTCCCTGCGAAGTATCATGGTATCTATCTTGGTATTTGATATACTACAATCATTTGTGATTACCATATTCATACATATTTGCATGCTACTCCATCGTACTCATAGAACACCATGGTATTATCATCATGGTAGCGTTCAAAACTATACATGTTGCTTACTGCATACTGCACTGTAAACATTGACTGCTCCCTACTATTAAAAAAGGTCACATAAGTCACATTGAGTTCAGTGAGAGGTGAACAGTTATCATTTTGGGGACGAACAAATCTGCTATTTTGAATTTTAATTAAAATGTATATTAGAAATGGAAGAAAATTTCTATTCAGTTTCATTGTTTCAAATTAAATATTAAGCGAAGAAAGAGATGTATATCTTTGAGAGCATTGCATTGTGGGCATACAGTGTCCATTGTGGTCTGTTCTGTAGTATTTTGCACATTTTGTTAACTGTAATAGATCATCTGTGTATTTTATTCAGATTAATGTGCATAAGTATGCAGTAATATGCTAATATGATTTAAGCTAAGCTATCTATTAGCATTTCCATTAATATTGCTAATATACATTTATAATTCAAATGTGCACTCTATAAACTTTCTATTAAAATGATCCACATGACACCGATCTGTATCGCAATCAAAACTTTATTTCAGTTTGCTGTTATTAAATCAATGACCACAGAAGGGTATCACAAGTACAGAGATGAGCAGTTTTTAAATAGACTGACAAATAGGCTCTTCACTTTGGCTAAAATCTGCTATTCCTACGTTTCTGACACACATATATTTTCAGTATTTCATCGGAACAGCTTTCCACAAACTCTCCACCTTCATTCTTCACATATAGGAAGGTTGGAATGGAAGTAGAAGGCGAGCAAGGGCGGAGAGAAATAGGATCACGCAGTCCTTTAACATAATGAGCTGATTTCGCCCTTACTGCAGCCCCATTTACAGCAGGCATTGGACAGCCCAACGACCACGTCCCGCCCCTTCCTGTCTGACGTGCGCAAGGCCTCCAGCACTTCCTCAGAGATGAGTGAGCGGGCGGGGCGGCTGAACACGGGGCTCCCCTGGCCCTCTCCTGCCCAGACAGGCGCTTCTGCGTCGTGACGGGACCTGTATGACAGTCCAGGGATGAGAGGGTTGGCGACCCAGCTGTCAGAGGCCTCGTCGTCATGAGCGGAGAGCAGATCACTGGACAGATCACCTGATCAAAGAACAACACAACAAAAATATGTCACCATTATTGTTGCTCATAGTTAGTGGTAGTGATTCAAACAAACCCTAGTATTAAACTTCAGCACGTAACTCGTCATGCTAATGAGTTCATGTATATTGTACATGTACATTCAATGGCGAACATGAGCCACAGAGACCAGAATATCACAGAAACTTGAGGTGAGACCACTGATCTATAATATATAGATCAGTGGGTGAGACACTTTTGGCAAGTAAACAACCAACTAGCAACCACCCCAAACACCCTAGCAACTGCATAGCAACACCCTGCCAACCTGCAGCATCATGTCAGGTCATTTTATGCACACGACTTGTTATAGCACTTGTGTATCATTGCTCTTTTGTTGATTTTGATTGCTTCTATTGTCCTCATTTGTAAGTCACTGGATAAAAGCGTCTGCTAAATGACTAAATGTAAATGTAACTTAATTATTAATAATATTTTATTAATAATAATAGTGTATACATATGTATATCTGTATATAATAAATAAATAATAAAATAAAATAACTATTTAATGAATAATGATTTAATTACTTAATATAAATTATTATTATTATTATTATTAAATAATATATATTTTTATTGTTGAACTCTAAAGATAAAAAAAAGTTAAAATAACTTACATAAAATGGGTTTGTGGATTACATGTAGTTCAATTTGCCCTCTAAATGTATGTGTATTATCAATAATAATAATAATAATAAAAATTTAATGACATGTGGTTCAATTTGCCCTCTAAATGTATGTGTATTATCAATAATTATTATTATTAAATAAATAATGTATGTTTTTATTGTTGTAGCCAAATAGCCATTTAATTAATATTGTGTCAAAATATTAACTCAAAGCTATGCAGAAGCACAATTGAATAAATGTTATATATAAATGTATGTTGTATTTGGGTTCCTCTAAATGTGTGTGTATTGTATTGGAATTAACAAATATACAGTAAACAAAACTCTTGATTTTTTTTTTTTTTTAATTCATGTCTAACTCTCACATCTGTCTCATACCTGAAACATCCAGAGACCTCCTCCATCGCGAGCCTCCGCAGGTGAAGATGACCGCCCGGATGAACTCTCTGCCGCACAGCTTCACCCCGTAGATCGGGAGTCCGTCTGTGGCCTGAGCGCCTCTCAGCAGCGCCACCAGCAGGCCGAGTGTGAGAACTGCAGCTTTACACATGACGACGGCGATGAGAGTGAAAGTTCTGAAAGTGTTTCTCAGTGGTCCCTTTCTTGGTTTGAAAGATGGTCTAACCTCTCATCGGCCTGGTGTGTCTTTTATAGGGGCTCATGGAGCCTGCGCTGTTTGCGTGTCAGTCAGATTGACCGTGATAGCAGGCCAGAGACCTTTAGAAAGACAAAGGCCCGGCCCAGCGCCTCTATAATGAGCCTGTGTACCTCTGTGGAGGTTATGGCCAACACAGCGACCTAATCTCATCACTCCTGACCTTTTTGTCATCATACACACTGTTGAATCACATAAAATGTTAAATAAATAATAAACTTGCATGCACACACTAATACAAGCGCTGCACTTTCAATTAGATGAATGCAAATACTCACATTATGAGTCTATAGGATTCATAAATGCTTTTCTAAACCCAGTTTATTATATTTTACCTTAATGCCAAATTGTCCTAATTAGCCTATTTTGACATGCATGCATACATACATGAATAATAATAATAATAATTATTATTATTATTATTATAATACTTAAAGGAATAGTTCATCCAAAAATTAAAACTCTGTCATTAATTACTCACCTTCATGTCATTCCAAACGAATTGCAAGTCATCCTCTCTGTCGAAATCTTCAGATATGTTTACGAAGACTGCTTTATGTGCAGCGTGCATCTTCTTCTGCTTGTAAACAAGCCGCAGCACATGTGTGTTCTACATCAGAACGCCGGCTCCTGCATCAGCAGCTTCACAGCGTCGTGATACACTTGTGAACGTGCGGCAAAGACTGATACGGAAGAGAAGAATTGTTGAATAAAGTCATTGTTTTTGTTTTCTTTGCACACAAAAAAGTATTCTTATAGCTTCATTACATTACAGTTGAACCACTGATGTCACATGGACTATTTTAACAATGTCCTTACTGCCTTTCTGGGCCTTGAAAGTGGTAGTTCCCTTGCTGTCTATGCAGGGTTAGAAAGCTCTCGGATTTCATAAAAAATATCTTAATTTGTGTTCCAAAGAACGAAGGTCTTACGGGTTTAGAACGACATGAGGGTAAGTAATTAATGACAGAATTTTAATTTTTGGGTGAACTATCCCTTTAAGCAAAAAATTATATATATATAAAACTGTTGATGAAACATTATACATGGTACACTTTGACCACAGATTCATTTTTCTAATGAACAGAAAACTGTATACTATCATGCAAATTTGTTACATGGGAATAATAAAAATATAATAATCGACCCTGTGTGGGGTCATGAAAATAACATAAACCAAGACCCAGATAATTAGAGCCAGATTTAACATCTGAGGTAATACAATGGTACTGTCTGATTTCATATTCATATACCATAGAATTTCCATGAAACATCGTCAATACACAATAAAGATTTAAAGAACAGTAAAAATATGCAGTGCAGGCTGTGTTAGCTGACCTCTCGTGACACAAGGTGCCCAGATGACATTTCAAACAGATAAGAAGAGGATATGGATGAGAGAACTGATGTGTGTGTGGTTATTAAGAGTCCCAGCACCTCGGAAACCGGTTTATAAGAGTATCAGCAAAAACCTGTTTCTTCATAATCATACAGTCACGAGATAAGAAAGTCTGGAGAATATGATTCACACGCTGGCATTCACAGAGATAACAACACATGGATGAGCCTTCAGCATGCGGGTTAATTGGTTGCCTGTCTGGCCAGTGATTATAGTATTATGTTTAATATGCTGATGGTGCTATAATTAAATTATTTCGAAATTAGAAATTAAACGATTCATTTGCAGAATTTCGTGCCCAAACTAAGGATAAATTACATTCTTATTTAGGTATTTATTTATTCAGGGTACATTATTCAGACAATTTCGTGGGTAAATTATCCTGTTTTATGGAAAATTTTAGGAAAAAATCTGGACATTTAGACAAAGTACCATGGTGCTGCCATTTGATGTAGAAGTATATGTTTAATATGGTAACGTTTAGTAAGGATAATGATTATACATATGATTTGCGCAAAAATAAAACACTATTTTGATACATTTTTCATTATATATAAACTGTATGTAAGTTATTAACGTGTACTTTTTATTTTATCTTTAACTGACGTCGAAACTGAGTCAGAGGAGTTTAGCGTGACGTTTGATTGACAGGAATGTGGTCCAATAAATGAGCGTAAAGTGGGCGTGTACTTCTTGCGTAAACAACTGTCAGCGAATGACAAGGTAAGTTTGTTATAGACACTCTCCTTATCCAATTACAAAGAGAGAAGACCGTTTCCCTTTGGCGACACGCAGCCAATCGCTGCTAAGCAAGAGGGCGGTGCTTAGACGGGTGGGTAGCAACAGTTGCCCCGGTGAGGACGAGGCGCCATAGTCACGGTAGTCGTGGCGACAAGAACCCAGCAACAAGAATCAACAATAACAATTTGAACCATTAAGAAAATAAAACTCCGCGCCAAACTAAGATCATCCGGCAAGAAGCGAAAGGTGAAAGCAGCAACTTTACTTCACGCATCCTCCTCTTGTTTTTTGTTACAAGTGCCGAAGTGTGCTAGACACGATTTCCTCAGTTATCGCGCTTTAACTCGACCCCGCGCTTGCGGTTGTTATGACGATGTCAAATCTGCTCGAGCGCGACAAAATGGCGGGTGTTGTAACGTGAGAGTGTGAGACTTTTGACTTGCTGTTGTTTGTTTATGGTGAGTCAGAAGTGTGTTTAACTGACTTGATTACTGAAACGGACGAGTAGTTTAGGATCAAATGTCATAGAGCGACTTCTGACAGCTAAACTACCTTCGACTGTAATCTTTATTCGGTAATCCGGTTTGCTGGAGTTTATTTAACGCAAACGGCGATTTATTTACAGACATCGCGGTGGATCAAACTCTCGGGAATTGTATTTTCAGGGGGTTAAAAACTTTGTTGAGGGAGTCGTCGATTAACAACCATATGTGTGCCAAATCAGCTCCAGTGCGGAGGGAGGGGCGTGTTCTGGAAAGGGGCGTGGCGTGGGAAGTTAAAAGGGCGTGATTGACACATGTCTATCCAGTTGTAGATGTGGATATCTAACTATATGTGCGTATATAGACTTTGCTTTCTATGCCAGCAATAATATTAAAACACACATATGTAAGAAATGTTACATATAATATAAAATTAAAATAGATGCTATATTAGTGAGGCAAAATCATGCATGGTATTTTGCCATTAAAATCATAACACTGACTATATACTCTACATATGGACCATAGAGGGGAAAATAATACATTGCGCAACATAAAAGATTCATTATGACATTAAATGTTCAGCAAGATGCTGTGATATTTTTCAAGGAAGTTTGTCAGCATATTTGAAAATAACCTATGAATATATGCTGCTTGTTCAGGTAAATTGTTGAAATTATGTATTTTATTTAGCATTGTTCCTTTAGGTGCTCTCGGTTTTATTTTCATTATTTTAATTTTAATCATGTGAGTTGTTCTGACAATACAAATATATATATCTAACTATATGTGTGTGAATATAATTTGTGCTCTGCCAGCAATAAACAAAACATACATATTTAAGAAATGTTATATTTAATATAAACATAAAATAGATGATATATTATTGAGGCAAAATCATGCATGAAGATAATATCTTGCCATTAAAATCATAACATTGAATATATACTCAACATATAGACCATAGAGGTAAAAAATAATACATTACACAACGCAATGTTTAGTCAGATTATAACACAGGATTTATTATGACATTAAACGTTCAGCGAAATGCTTTGCGTGTAAATTTATGAGCGAATTTGAAGCTGTGAATATGTGGTGGTAAATTGTTGAACATTTGTATTTCATTTTAAAGTGTTCAGAGTTTTGTCTTCATGTGCTCTCGGTTTTATTTTAATGGGATGATTTTAATAATGTGAGTAGTTCTTTTTAGGCTGTGTGACTTTAATTCTGATCAGAAGATTCATTATGAATTTTCCCTCTCTCACAGTAACTTCATATGAACTAGCACATACTGTCATCACAAGACAGGGCACGCCCGTTCCCGCTAATTTAAGGAAAATGAGAGTACTGTTAAACAAGTTCAGCCAGCTCAAGGATTTACGTGCGTCTGACAGGGAAAGAAAATGTGTTTAGTTTTACATGCAGTAAACTACTGGAATGTATGCATAAGTGAGACAAAATGCTTGACTTTTTTTTTTTTAGATAAATCTTTTTTGTTGTTATTGATAATAATAAAAGATTCTAAATGCATGTTCTTATTCTGTATCCAAATAATTATGTAGTTATTAAGGTTAACCAGCAGAAAATGTCAGTGAATTTGCTTAGCAAAAATAATGTTTTAATGAAAACGTGAGTCCTCATAAAGCACTATTGCTTTTATATAATAAAATATTAAGGCAAGACGCTACAGGTGAATAGAGAAAAATTCCCCAGTTGACTAATCACATTAATCACATGAAGACAATTGTTTTGTGCTACAAGTTGTATGAAATGTTATGTTCAAATATGCAAATGCATGATCTAATAATTTACTTACATTTCCAGAAATTAGAACACTGGATAAAATCAGGTTCAAAATTTTGTTACATTTACATTTACATTTAGTCATTTAGCAGACACTTTTATAAATATAGATAAAGTAGAATTAAAATAGAATAGAAAGTGTTAGAGTTAGAGGGTCAAATAAAGGTGGAACAGATGTGTTTTTAGTCGTTTCTTGAAGATGGTTAAGGACTCAGCTGCTCGGATTGATTTGGGCAGTATTGTTAACATATTAGAGTTAAAGATTTGTACTGAGGGGATTTTTGATAGCTCTTTTTATCACTCTATAAATCAGAAAATCCGGTCAACAGCCAGAAATGAATATATTTTTAAGAAATAAAATAAAATGTATGAACAAACCCCTCAGTAAAAACCTTCAGAATATAGCAAAAACTGTAAAGTCGGATTTATGTAGTTGCTACTGAAGTGGAGAAAAACTCATTTTGAGAAAACAGACTTTAAAGATATGTATTGTAATTGAAACCTACAGACGCAAATAGATTAAGTATAATAAT